GGGAATAATAAATATGCTTTTGTTCTTTTTCATTTAATTTCTGTGGACTGATCGTAAAGACACGGTTCCCGGTAGAACACAGAAGTCAAGCATCACTAGCAGCGGTCATGCGGGTGACCACTTTAATCAGCCTGCTTAGGAACCGAGGGTGTGCGGTATTGGTCGTGGTTAAACTGTTCTACCGTAAAGTGCTCGACTTCGCACGCAGGTCGTCGGACTACCAAAGCAGGGGAGCCCTCCCCTCTGCAGAGGATCAAAATTGTTACGGCATGTCTTCGGATCATCCTCAGGGATGTTTCCCATACCGTTGCCAATAACCCATATCGCAGCTCTAGTGCGACGTAAATAATGTACCTACCGATCTATCCATTTAATTTTCAGAAATAAACTCATGATGATTATTTACTCTATTCGGCACAATCTTTCGAAACATGTAAAATGAAAGGCAATCACCCAATCAGAATTTTAGAGATAAATCGTACGGTATTTTAGATTCTCTAGTAAGAAGGTGAGTAGGTTTCCATGTTGTCCTTTTCCTGTCTTCCTGAAATCATTAATAACATAAACTACATGGATTTACCTGAGTTACAGGAAATCCTGTTGTTTTCTGCGGAATGTAAACATCTTAGGCCGAAATGTTAAATTAAATGCTATATAATGGCAAATTGTCATTATCCTGGCTGTCATTTTCCTGGCTTATGAATGCCAGGACATTGAAACAGTTACCAGAAATATTTTTAAACAGTTGAATGTAAAGAGAGAAAGCAAATATTAACCTAATACTAAGTTTATGTACGATTGTAATATGCTTGAATGTTAATGTAATAGGCAAAGTTAAAGAATGTTTTTTTTTATTTATTGAATGGTTGATTATTATACACAGTTTTATTCTTTACATAGCAGCAACAAAAACATTTTTGATTCTTTCTACAGTGGATAAAAGAATTAATTTAAGCAATTCATGGTCAATCTAACGCAAAGGCTTAAGTTGAGTTGCGTACTATTAGCTTAAAATGACTGTTTTTTTAACTGCTAAGCTAATATGTCATTTTCCTGTCATTAAAAATTTGGAGAATTTAATTTTTTTTTTCCTTAAGCAAATGTCAATGAACTACACTGCTGTCTGTAAGATATAAATAAATGTAACTAAATAAATATACAAAAAAATTTCAGACTATTTTGAAGACTTTAAATTTGAAAAAATTTTTAGTTCCGAATTGTCATGTTTCCAAAGAATCACCCATATATAAAGTTATAACTTATAGTAAAAGAAAAATTAATAATGAGGACTGATTTTACTTAAATATTTAATATATAATTTTTTTTATCAATTTTAATAATAATTTTTTAAACCTGTGATACTTTCATATATCCAAAAACAGTTGTTCAAACTATGATTCTAATAAAAAATATTTGCTTACACAAATAGCAAAAGAAAAAGAAAAGAATAATAAAATACTAGATTGTAAAGAAACACATTTGAATTGGAATTACTGGTTTATTATCTCTTTTAATAATCTCTTTCATTAAATAATCTCTTTTATTTGGGTTCAATCATTCTATAAAAAAATATTGTTTTCCTTTTTTTTAAATGAAATAATTTTGAAAAACATTATTCTAGCGAGGAAAAAAAAAAGCTCTAAAAATATTTAGTGGCACCATTTCACCCTTTTCTGACCTTCTACAAAACAAATATTCACACTTTATTGGTTTCGAATTCACTTTTCATTTTAAAAATGAATAAAATACTTTCGAATATTTCACAGTCTAGTGACAACACACAACACATAGGAAGAAATTTGTTGGATATAAATTATATATATTGAAATTTACGCTTCATAGCATACATATGTTCCTNTTTTTTTTTTTTTTTTTTTTTTTTTTTTTTTTTTTTTTTTGAGAATAAAACATAAACAACCTCGACAATATTTCTTTAAATGTTTCATTCAGAATGTTTTTTTCTTCTCTTTTTTTTACATTATAAAAGTCAAAATCTATTCTAAACGTATAAAAATCAGTTTCAATCTAACGATAGCCAAGTTTAAAATGATTTAGGTCAAAAATTTTAATAAAATGTTGATCTTTTTCTATCATTCTTTGTTTCGTACATAACGTAAATATCAAACCAGAACTGACTTAATACTCTAAAAACTCAGGTACTAAAATATGTAATACGTTATAAGTCACAAATGGCTTACAATCAATGGTTAAATAAATACTCGAAGCATGAATTAATTTCTTGATTAATACTTTTAAATACACTTAAGTTTAAACATTATATTATTACGAAATCATAAAAAAAAATTGACAGCAACTTAAAACTTTATAATATTTCAAGATTGCTAATCCATTTTAAACAGGACCTACACTATTTGAAATTTTAAGTAATTTACATGATATGATTTTATTGTCTTTATAGAGGTAGCTAATTAGTAGATTTAGTTACACGGAGAAAATTATGCTAGTAAAATTACCATCGGTAATGACGTTTCTAGTTTTTTAAAAAAAAACATAATTATAGTAAATAAAACAAATATATACAGTATTTAAATCATTTATTTGGTACTTTTTTCGTTCTCATGGTAACTGTTTACCGAAAATCCTGGTTTTAAAAATTATAGCTTTTATTATCACACATTTAGAGAAAAATGTAAAATTTAAACGTAAATTTAACCAAATAAATTGTTTTTATGCCATGCTCCATAGTAACAAGATAAAATTACCAAATGTTACCACATTTACTAAATTTTTTCACGTATTTTAAAACCAATTATTTTATTGTTAATTTCACTAAAATCATTACTCCGGTAAAAATTACCGAGCTTTTTGATGTTCCCATAGAAACTAGAAGCATGGTAAATTTTACCATATTTGGTAGTTTTAAGCATAGTTTTTTTTAGTAAAGTGCAGCTTTTACTAATAAAAAATGCATTTTTAATTTACTTTTTAATTTTCTCGGATGACAAATCCTTATATCACAACAGCACCTATGTCTAAATTATGCTGGTTCGAATTTAGCCCCTTACTCGTTTAAATTCAATTTAAATTTTATTTATTTAATTTTTATTGCTCTAAAATTCCTTAATCAAGTATCATTTATTCCTCAATCAAGTATTTTTTTTTTTTTTTTTTTNTTTTTTTTTTGCTTATGTGGTGCTCTGTTAACTCAGCGCTTAATTTTATTGGATATAGCAAGTTTTAAAAGAAAAGTTAGTGTTTAAAATTAAAAAAAAGAAAGGAAAAAAACATCTGCTCTAGAGGAGAACGTCAAATTGTACACATTAAGCACAATAAAGAAATTGGGAGTAAAAATATTTGCAAGAAGAATGAACTTGCAATATTGCTGCAGATGTTACGATAATCTGCCTTCTCCCTCTGACGTATTGGAAGGTTTCTGTAAAATTTATGCACTATAGAGTTCGCAGTAAATAATTCATTTTTTCATAAGGGCTACTTCCATTGCGAATTTACTAAGAAGAAATTGAAGTATGAAATCATTAGTCAGTAAAGAATTTTCGATAAAGTAACATTTTACAATACTACAAATTCATAAGGTTTTTTTTTTATTTTTTATTGTTTAAGAAGCATTTCTGAAAATTAATTTGTTTAAGGGGGCATTGAAAAAAGCTTGCCTTGCTGATGAGTCAATAAAGTTCTAAATTGGTGGGGAATCAGTAAAATTCTAAAGTTGAAATTTCAAACAGCGCGTACGTTCAAGTGATTCATCTAAATGATCTCAAAGTAATTAAGGGACAGCGACTAAAGAATTATATAACCTACAAAATGAGTGATGAACTTAGTTCTGGATTAACATACGCAATATTAATCCCTTTAAATAATGACTAATATTTAAGTAGACAATTATAAAATATGTACACGTTGCGGAAAAGATTTAAAATTTAGCATAATTAAGGTAGTTTAAATAATAATGATAATTATGAACAATAATGTATAAAAAAATTTCAACTAAAAACAAATTAAATTTTTGTAAGAGACGAATGTGATTATGCTGCGCCTAACTTAAGGAAAATAAATTAACTCGCAGAAATAAACTAATAATGAATATTTACTCTATTCGGCACTATCTTTCGATACGTAAAATATAAGGCTGCCAACCAATCAGAATTTGAGATATAAAGCGTGCGGTATTTTAGATTTTTTATTAATTTTTTGTCACAAAATTACTCCAATACAATTTTGCAATCAATAACTTTGGAAAAATATTTAAATAGTAAATAATTATTAGTTTTTCGATTTTTTATAAGTATCATTATTTTTATGCACTTAACACTAAAGGAAATTTTTAACGTCATCCAAATCGCTTTTCTTCTATTTTAACTGCAAAAAGATTAGATTTTAAAAAATCTAAACGAAAAAATCATTCCGTTCAAAAAACTATGTATGGTAGAAACGAAAAAGGGTAAGAACGAGTAATAAAAAATAAGGAAGATGAAGATTTTGCAAAAAATTTTATAATTTTGTTTATTTTTAATGATCAACAACAGTTTAACAAAATGCTTTAAATCTTAAAAAAAAATAATAAAAAAAAAAAAAATAATAATAATAAGTTTACTCATAAATAATAATCATCATCCACAGTCATTTTGAAGATGTTTTTCTGAATATAAAAACTTAATTAAAGCACATATTTCGAACAAATTGTGTCAAATCAAATCAACAACACTTTGTATTAAACGTTAAACAATAGTTTTAATTTTTAAATAATTAATTTGTTATTTATGTCGATACCTTTATTGATATATTTGTTATGGAAATAAATTATAATTATTATTATAATTATTAAAATATTATTTTTTAAAAGTGAATTTTTATAGTATGTATTCATGCATACATACTTTTCATATTCTTTTATGCTTGCTGTAAATCTGTAATTTTCTGATTCTACAAAATTAGCTTATAGTAAATACGAAAACAAGAAGAAAAAATCTATGCAATAAAATGTTCCTCATTAACTCAACCGATGAAAGAAAACTACTTACTTCCTTGTTTCGCTCAACAGGTGTCAAATAATCCAGGAATTAATTTCACCCAACGAAAAACATTATTTTCCACTCATCCGTCACAAACATCCACAAAAAGAACTGCAAACAAATCCATTTGTTTCTGCCGCCAAACGATTTAGAAAATATTAAAAAAAGTGATTTCACTATTCCAATATCGCAATCAAATCTGAACGATCTTAACGGAATAAAAAAGAAACTGGCAGACGATTTTATTTACAAACTGATATCGACTCTAGACAACCACTGGAATAATGATAGGAGCTATGATGGTGATGACTAGGGGTTGAAATGAAAACAAAAAAATATTTTTTGGAGCGCGCGCACCTATGCCTTGAACAACGAATGAATCAGTTGGAAAGTTCCCGAGCGATACCTCATTGGCTGACTCTAGGTGGCTCTCACAGCCGAAGAGAGTGCCGTTCACGGACCGTTGCGTCATTCAGGTGTTTACCGTCGATGCGAAAATGTGGAATCAATTTTTAATCATCAAGTCAAAATCTCTCTGATTCTTGCTAAAGAAATAATGTTTTAAAATGATTTTATTTCTTTTCTAACGCAACGTGTGAAGTAGTAAGTTTAGAAGCTTATCTAATAGTTCCATGCAATAATTGTAAAGGATAGCTAAAGTTAAAATAATTGAAGATCAGCTGATGTAAAGTCTAAGCACATTTTACCTTCTTGCATTCTGCGATAAAATATTAAAATTTGCTTTCAAATTGAGCACATTTTCTAAACAAGTGCTAAAATATATTTTATTCAACAAAAAAGTTTATTCTGTCTTTAGAAATATACATCATACATAATTCAAAAACTCTAATGTTGTTTTTGCTCTATAGGTAAAATCGTTTGTTAATACTTAAATATGTGATCAAAAATTGTTCTACATGATTATTTTGCAACAATTTATTGTTCGTAAGTTGTTAATCGGTAACTCATATAAAGCTGTCTGTACGTAATACCCATGCACAACATATTTTTAACAAAAATTATTTTAGATGCTTAAACGGAAGAAGAAAAAGATACTTTCTTCAAGTTACGGTTACAATACATTAAAATTATGTTATTAAAAGTGAAGCAAGCAGACGATTTTAAATCTTGATAAAAAGTCGGACAATTATATTACTTTTTCCAGGCTAACCAATAAAAATAACATATTTTGTGAATGTTCCCATAATGTATGGAACTCAGAAAAAAGACCTCTCCCATTTTTTTGAACTAGTAATGTCTTCCTTAACACCAATTGTTAAGCGACGCTAATCTTTAGCATAAAAGGAACGAGCCGCGGGGCTATTCCCTATTCAAAAGCAGGTACCAAAGGTGGCGCCGGCGCTTTTCACAAAAGAGAAGGGGGTAAAAAGAAATCTATTAACAGGTTTCTACGGACACAAAAAGTACTGTATTTGGAATGAAAAGTTACTTTAGAACAAACAGCTCTTGATCCCTTCTCTCGCAACACATAACTCTAAAAAACCGTATAAAAATAAAATAATAATAAAGAAGGAAAAACGAATACATAAACCACGAATGAATTTTTAAATCGGCACATAATTTTCAGATCTGCCACATGACTGGCCTTGAATATTATCTAAATTTTATTTAAAAGCTTAAGTGGCAACATCACTCAAAATTCACGAGTTCCTCAAGGAAAAAAAATTTATAATAAAATTCTTTTAAATGGGAGAAGTTTTCGTATTGCACTATTTCCTTATTTAATTAATTATAAGTTAATTAATTAGATTATCTTATAATTCTCAAACTACGAAGATGACAGTTCTTTAGATGGAAATCCTGATTAATATAATCGAAACATATTCAGGTTATTGTTTTATTGCTTATATTTCAATGTTAAAAATACTGCCCATCGTGTTAATTTAAACTCTTTTTCTAAATTTTGATATTTAAATCGAAAAGTATTCAAGTAGTTTTTTTAAATTGTTTTCACGTTAAAGTTGAAACAGAATGGTTCAGTTTTGAAACTTAAGCTGTTTACTTTTAGAATATTTTCCTATCGTTTTTTGAGAAAAATTTTAGTATTGTAGCGTATTAATTAGAAATTAAACCACAATAATAAGTCAAAAATATTAAAGTGTTTTTCTTATTGCATGTATCTACATTAATGTTTAAAAAAAATTATATTATAGAAATTTAAATTCTTTTTTGAAAAATTATATTTAATTATAAAATTTAGCATTAACGTTTTACGAAATTAACTGTTTTAGAGTAATTTAAAAAGCTTTCAGATTAGCTACTTTTATAATACATTTAACTTTCAAATTGGGCGGTACTCATAATTTCACATCAATTTTCTCATGTCACGCATATAAATGTCAACTGACTTGTATTTCAAAGGTGACATCAGAAATTTACTTTCTGTCTATTGTTCGCAATTAACTTTTCGTAGAATGATTTTAATTCATCAAAGAGTGTTCGTAAACTTAAATAACGGTATGACAACAAAGATTTGAAGTCATGCCAAACGAAAACCCTTGTTGAGCTTTAAGCATAATTAATTTTGAAGAAGTTTTATATTACAACAGGCACAATTATAGCTTATTACGAGTAAAGAGTTGGAGAAATAAATATTTTACAAATACTAAACTTATTTTAATAGCAAGTGTAAATTTTAATGAAAATGAATATAATAAAAATAACTTATTAGCAAATGTAAATTTTAATAAAAATAAGTTTTGAACAAAATATGAATTTTAGTGAGATATATTATATTTGTAAATTTAAAACTTTACAACAAAAACAAACAGTAAAAACAGCAATGAGAGATAATAAAGACAAAGATAAATTAAAATTACTATGATCAATCTTAACATCAAAAATAAATTATTATGATAAGGAACAATTTAAAAAATAACAATATCTCATGATAATAAAAATAAATTATTATAACAAGATAAATTATTTTAACGATAACAATAAATATAAACTACTAAAATGAAGATAATTTGATAACAAAGATTATAAGATAAATAATTGTTAAAAAGATAATTTACTATAACGATGGTAAATTATCATGAAAAACATAAACTTAAAAAGAGTGATAAATTATAATAAAAAAATATGTCTCAATAATAAAGATAAACTGTAATAAAGATGCTATATCAAAATAAAAAGATAAATCTTAAGTACAATAGTAAAACTCTTTCGATCTAAATACGAAACATAAATCTTTTATATGATGATCTTTAACTGATACTTTAAACTCATCAAAACAATACGAATTTTCAAAAAATTAAAATTATTTAACTAGCAACTTTAGCTATTACAAAATTGTTCAGTTATCTTTAAAGAAAAATACTAAATACAATAATGTAAAAGTAAAAAAGAAAGTTAAAAAAAACCATTTTTATATACAAAACTATAAAATTCCCTCACTGGGATAAATATTTTGTGGTGATAATAAAAAATCAAGAATATTTTTGAAATTTATGAAAAAGAATAATACTATTCAATAACAGAGTATTTAATATACTCTTTCACGGATGAATAAAGTATTTTCTTTCTAAGTATTTACAAGACATTATAACCATCTATGCAAAATATTAAAAAAGTAATGAGTTTGAAATAAGTGAATATTCTGAAAAAACTTGATAGAAAAAATTTTTTCAATTAAAAAAATCCAGCCCCATTTATCTATTTAATTTATGCAACACATACTTATGTAAGGATAGTATGTTTATTCAAGAGATTACGAAGTAAAATATTAATATTATAAGAAAAGATTTATACTAGAAATAGATAATTAATTTCGAATGAAACAATGCAAAATGGTCGAAAATATTTATAAAGATAAAATATTGAGTCATGAATCCCTAAATATTGAGCTACTTTAGAGTGATTCATGATGAAATGTGTCATTTTTTTCAGAAGTTGTACCATTCTTGGTCTTTGCGATACAAATATATTTATAATTATACGATAACACGAAATGATATAAATATTTTGTAGACGAACCAGTCGTTGCTTTTGAAGAAGTGAATGTCTGATCTATAGATTTTAAAATTTTTACAAACGAAAGAATTTGGAGAAATTTTCAGATTAATTCAGATATTTTTGCGCGACTTAATTTACAAGTTCATTTTTTTATTGTAATACTGTTTTGTTTAGGCCTATTACAAACGCAACCGTCTTCATTGGTTATAAAACTCTAGTTTGAATTCTAAAGATATCACCACAAATGAAATTTACGTTAAGTTAATTGAGTTATTGAGATTCTTTTTACGCTCCTGCGGTGCATGACCTTCCGTCATCAACTCCTCTGTCCAGAGATTCCCCTCTAGCCAGTGTCCAGCCAAAGAATATATAAGAATATACAAAGAATATATATATATATTCTTTGGTCCAGCTGATCTCAAGATTATACAACTAAAATTGATTCACGTTCGTCCTCTTATGCGCAAGTAACCAAATAAGTCCTGTTACTGCAGAAGAAACTGTTCATGGCAGATTGTATTTTAATTCCATTAGTATATTAAAATCTAAAGTTTGGAAAAAAGTGAAATCATGATAAACCTGAAGTAAACCATGAAGTTTCAAATGCTAAAAAAATGATTTCACAATATCAAAATGCAAACACCAATTATGATAGGATTGCTTAAGATTAGTGCGGATTTAGTGTGGATTGCTTAATATTAATGGGATTACTTTCCCACGGCATAATCCTGTGTAGTTCTGCCGTAATTTGTTTGTATTTCGAATATTTAGATTAATAATAATAATAAAATCAGTGCTTGAAACATCATGGTTTACTTTAGGTTTATCACGTTCTCACTTTTCTCTTAATATTAAATTTTAAATTAATTATGCGTGAAAGAGTTATTCGAAATTAAAGATTTCTCCTCAGTATACCCAAGTCAGCATTTTTGATGATTTTCCATTGATGGGTCAATAAAATCTTGATGGTAACCATTAATAATTGCATAATGAACCCTTATATTTTCTTATGTTAAGCAACATAAGTAACCATCACCCCAATGTAAGAATTCGTACTGATTTATGATGGTCCAACATTAAAAAAAATGTTTTGATGGTATATTCCTGCTGAACCAACAAGAATTATTATTAAACTATCATGAAAATGCATTGTTACACAATTTCGAATTCAGACTAAATTACTATCTACTTTAGCTGGTTTATTTTTATCTGGAGTTAAAAAGTACGATACAAATTTATTTTTTATAATTTTTAATATTCGTTGTACCATTATGGTCTATCACGAATTTCCCTCATAGTATCTTAGAAATCAAATGTTTGAACTATCATGTACAATCATCATTCCAATGTAGGATTTCGGACTGATTTATGGTGGTCTAACATA